ACCATTCTATGATTCTATACCAAAGCTCAAACTTCTGTTTGATAATACCTGAGCTTCTTCCTGCTGCTTCCTCAGCTGTTCAAGCATGTGCTGTAAGTCTGCCTCCCTCTGTTCTGCTTCAACCATAGTTGCTTGATTTTGTTCTTCATAGGCCATGGCAACCACAGCCAAAATCAAGTTAATCAAATAGAAAGAACCCAGAAAAATGACCAGAACAAAAAATATCATGTACGTTTTGCCAACAGCTCGTAGCGTCTATAGGTAGGAGAAGAAGAGAAATTATTCATCTGGTGAAGACATGCAGCAGTTCTGCAGTTCATAAGCATTTACTTGTAAAAGTGTAAAACTATTACTGAGTTGTTCTTCCTTCTGTAATAAGATCATACAAGCTTTCTGAATTACAAAGTAATCAAACTAAAGGGAGCATTCATGTATGCAAAAAACATGTTTAAAGATCATGCTGCTTTGAGACAAACCTCTTAATGCCTAATAGTCTTGAAAAGGATGTGGGATCAGAGTAATTAATGTAAATCACAGCTCACCAGTTAGATGCTTAGGATGCTTACCATATATTAGCATGCTTTCCCCTTGAAATAACCAAAAGAATTAAAGATGGCACAATTGATTAAGTAACTGAAAGACTTATTACAAGTAACAGATTTTCACACAAGATGTAGTGAAAAGCTATTGTAAGAAAAGTAATTTATAGAAAAAAAATTCATTCTTAGTTATCAAAAATAGGACTCAAAGTACAGAAACTAAGATTCAGATTTTGCTGTCACAGAGTATTTTAGAATTTAAACTCTATATTAAAGTTCTTGATAACATGATTTTATCATAAAGCACAAATAGAAACATACACTGTAAAAATTAAATACAGGATTAGAAAAAACCCTCATGTGCCTCTTCAGGAATCATGTCAGATTCTGTATGAAGTGCCCATGCCTGCTTCATTCTACAACTGATTTTGCTACCTTTCATAATTACTGTTCATTTTCAATTGCTAACAATACCAGCGGTATGCCATATAAATATGATATTCCGTGTGTGATTTGGGGGCAGTATGACACTAACCACAATTATTTACTCTACACTCACCAGCCGATAAAGATTTTCCCAGAAGTCCTGTGTCATCAGCCGAAACAGGGACAAGAAAGCCCAACTGAATGTGTCAAAGCTAGTATATCCATAGTTGGGGTTTCTACCAGCCTTCACACAGATAAACTCTTCTGGACATTTACTAGGAGGGGGGGGGAGAAAAAGTGAAGCAATGTTTTTAAAAAAATATAATACTAAAATTGTTTTTAAATTATTGAACCTTGAGCTACTAAGAACATTCATTAGACCTAATCTGTGAAGAGGGCTGCTATTTTTTGACTTACAACATTTTAAAAATTAGCAAGGAAATGAAGTGTTCTTTAAAGAATAAACAAGCAAATTAAGATCTTTCTTCTGACCTTCTTTCATGATTATACACAAAATAAAACATACTCCCAACAGTTTGGTATTACCTCTGCTGACACCTCTTCATTGGAAACAATGCATTCACTTAACAGATTCCATGAAGTGAATACTTCCATGCAAAAAAAAACCCCCAAAAAGTCAGTATACATATTCTATGCTAAATTTTGTCTGTCAGCAGGGTTGGCATACCAGATTTCTTGGTTTCTTCAGGTTTGGGAATTAGTCAAGTCAAATTAACAAATTTTACCAATTCCTCAACAGCAAATAATCATCATAGTGATATTTTTATCTCCTAGAACTGTACATATCAAGTCTTGATATCAACTGTGGACACAGTTTCAGCTACAAGTCCATTCTTGAAGGGTAGAAGAGGTTCTTACCTCCAAATTCTCCACAGAAAGATATTATTAAGATTTCTTTTCATATATATGCATGTATATTAGATGTGTATTTACACACACATACATAAAATTGTCTGATAGTTAATTACAGATAGACACAAAATGTTTAAAAAAAAGGATTTAAATATATCAGTTTTAAAGAGATAAACAACCGTTAGAATAATGAATTACGTGATTTTGATACAAAGAATTTTGATGAAGAAAGAGCAAGACAGGGCTATACCATGAAGCCCACAGACAGAAAAATCTTGAAGATGTCTTCCCCAAAGTTGGCCATAAATCCTACTCGCCCACATCTATTTTAGACATGAGAAATGGCATGAAACACATGATAAAGTATGTTTTTAAGTCAATGATAATGCAGTACCTATCTGCTGAAATGTAATTTTCTAGTTACATAAGAGTTTTTAAAGGAAACTTACAGTGAAGTATTTTCTTATTTAACATTTTTACTCATCCAAGGGTTTACACTTACTATGAACCATGATCACATATTGCCCATGAAGTTAGGTAGCTAAATTAGCTTTTTAAGTTTAGAGTGATATTTTTTACATTTTACAGGTAGTAATGTAACTTCTAGTGTACGTGTCTGTGCTGATTTTAGTTGGGATAGAAATGATTTTCCTCACAGTAGCTAGTATGAGGCCATGTTTTGGGTTTGTGTGGAGAAGAATGTTGATAACAAGCTGTTGGTTTGGTTGTTGTTAAGGAATGTTTACATCAAGCCAAGGACTTTTTCTGTTTCTGATACTGTGCCTGCGTTCCCAGTTTCACCTCTACAAGAAGCTGGGAGGGGAAGCAGGCCAGACAACTCACCCATACTGACCAAAAGGACATTTCATGCCATCAAATATCATGCTCAATATGTAAGCTGAGGAAGTTGGCGGAGGAGACTCACCTGGGCATCGACTGGCCAGTGGTGAGCAGTTTTATCATTTTGTTTTCCTTCCTTTTTTTTTTTTTTTAATTACATATTATTATTATCATTAGTAGTTATTATTATCATCATTAGTAGTAGTATTTTCATTACATTTTAGTAGTAGTAGCAGCAGCAGTATTGTTATTTCATTTACTTTTTAATTATTAAACTGTTATTATCTCAACCCACAAATCTGCTCATCTTTTACCTCCAATTCTCTCCCCCATCCCACTGGAGGAGGAAGGAGGTGAGTGAGCAGCTGTGTGGTGCTCAGTTGCTGATGGGGCTAAACCATGACACTTACCCTGCATCTGAGCTATTGCCACAAAGCAGAAAATCCTTTTCTCCTTCTAAGCGATAAAAATGACCTAAAGATAAAATAGGAAACAACATGATGATAAACATAAGGAGTTGGGTTTTTTAGAGGGTTTTTTGAGGATGAACCTAGATTCAAGTTATTATGGTTTGAATGTTCATAGTCTCGCATCCATGTTTCCCCAGTAATGGGTTCAAATACCGGCACATAACACTGTTAAGTAAAGCTTCAAAATTAAAGAATAAAATAAAAACACAATGTAAAAATAAAATCCTAGAACAATGATTAGAAGAACATATATTGCATATAGTCTTCTTGAGTCACAGCAAACACTGAATATACTTCCAAAATCTGTTCAGTAAATGACAGAAAGAAAGCACAAAGCTTAAAACTCCTCTTATTCAGTAGGTAGATTTTAATCAGACAATTAATGTCCATCTTATTTAAAATGGACCTATTTTTACAGTGTCTGGATAACAGTTTTGAAGTTAGAATAACATTTCTATCACATCTGTGACTGAAAATATGAAGGTAGCGTTTAAAAGGAAGATGGATGTTCCAGTGACAATGTTATAACCACTGCTGTACTATAGACAACTTTACAGAATTTTCCTTTTAATTATAAGGTGGTAGCCTTCAGAAATAAAATGATGTATTGTTTATGGATAATTAACAAGTCTGCTGTCTGGAAAAAAAACCCCACAGATAGAAAGATAACAAACTGGGGAAGAAGTTGATACGAGTGAGGGCAGACCCCATTCAGAGGGACCTAGGCAGGCTGCAGAAAAGGGCTGACAGGAGAGACACAAAATTTGGCAAAGACAAACACAGACCTGTGTACCTGGGAAGCAAGAGCCCCTCGCAAAGATACAGGCTGGGAGCTGACCTGCTGGGGAGCAGCTCTGCAGAAAAGGCCCTGAGAGTCTTGGCGTAGAGGCAGGAAGGTGAGGGGGAGCCAGCACCATGCCCTGGCAGTCAAGAAGGGCTACAGCCTTCTGGGCCGCATGAACAAAGCACGGCTTGCAAAGCGAGGGAACTGACTGTCCCACTCAGCTCAGCACTCACCAGACTGTACCTAGAATATTCTCTCCAGGTTTGGCTGCGCCAGTGCAAGAAAGATGTGATTCAGCAGGCGGCCACCAAGATGATGAAGAGCCTGCAGCATTTGCCCTGTGAGGAGGGGCTGAGGGACCTAATTTTGTTCGGCCTGGGGAAGGGAAGGCTGTGGACAGAGTTGGTAGAAAGCATCCAGCAATTATGAGAAGATTATCAAGGGGACAGAGACAGGTTCTTCTCACTCGTGTGTGGCAGGAGAATGACAGACTATGGGCATAGTTTGAAACAAGAGAGGTTCTGACTGGACACAATTATAAGCTTTCCACCATAAGAATATCCAGGCACTGAGATCTGGAAAAGAGAGAGAGAACTAGGAAAAAATCTTATCCCAACTAAACTCATCTTCCATCATTCTCAATTAATATTCTCAGTGTACCTTTCAAGCTGAAAAACAGTGCTAGTTTTCACAGGGTGAAACACTATTTTAGTAAATAATCAGAAACAGCCCACAGGATGAAGGATATATGAGGATAGGAGGATTCTAAACCAAACACTTAAATCTAGTGATGCCAAAATCCTACCATGCAATAACAGTACTTATACAATGTTAGAAAAATTATAATCCTATTACTTCCATTAGTTAGAGCTGGCCAAAACTCTAAATGTTCAGACACTGATCTAAATGACAGGTGCCAATACTTCAACATGTGGATCCAAGATCTGTGCGTATCTTTTCAAAAGGTGAATGTGGCCTTGAAATGAAAACACACAGATGCTAAGAGAAGCCACTAGAGGGTATTCACTCTCAGTCACAGCTGACCAGCATATGATATGCTGAAAAAAATATTAGGAGGACCCACAACTGAGCCCAGTGACATTATAATGCAACTGATACATACAAATGATTAAGAACAGGTTTTATAAGAAAGAAGGAATATAAACACAACTAGATGGAACTGCCTTGCCTGCATCAGTATCCCAGGAAAGTCAACAGTTGTAGCATAGGAAGCAACTGACATTCTGGAAGATTTTACTTCTGTCTTTTAGTTTTAAATTGCTACTTAGTGGGAAATGCGAATACAGAATCTATATACTGTATTTGAAGAGAAGATTTACAAGTGTTTTACAGCAGATAAACTATCAGCCAAAATTGTTCACAATTGTTCCATTTTTGCACCCTCTCTTAGGCAAATAAGCTAGCTAAAATGATAGGTTGCACAGAAAATGTAAAAAAACAATCACAGAATTTCCAGAACTTTAGCAATTCAGAAGTATAGAAAGAAAATTTGAAGATACAGAAAATAGCAGAGAATCTTAATCTCCATTTTTAAGTAAGGAAGGAAATATGACTCATGAAAACAGTGTACAACAACAGTATTTTCTTTTACTCTGGGGTTAGTGAGGAGGAAAGCTAGCATCCATCATTATACTAATTTCTTTTTACTTAAATATACTACTTCTACAATTAAGTACTGAGCGACACCCTGTAAATCCACTTCCAGGACAAACAAAAATTAATCAAATCTTTTAGCAATTGAAAGCTGTTATACACATACATTCTTGTGTTATACATAATTGAATTTTGTCTTCAGCCTATAGCATGAAACAGTAATCTTGTGTGTGTTTATACACAAAGATTTTATCAAGTTAGAACAGTTTTTCTTACTTTCATTATCAATGTATGCCGTCCAATCAAACACCGTACCATTAAAGTACGGAGCTAGGTATTCTTCAAAAGATGTTGAGTTTTCTGATGGCCATAACAAGCATTTATTCTTCAAGTTGCCCATGAACAGCTGCAGCCCTATTAGTGCAAATACACTCAGACAAAACACAGTCAGGATCATAACGTCCGAGAGCTTCTTCACAGACTGAATTAGGGCTCCAACGATAGTCTTCAAGCCTGTAAACAGATGCAGATTTTTATTAAATATTTATCTAAGATAAAATGGAGTGTGAACTACTCTAACACCTACTAAACGTCATGCACAGCTTCACAAAAATAGTCTTCAAATATTTTCCAAAGCAAAAAGGTGCCAGTAAGTCTCATTGGTCCTGACAAATTAGTTTGAAAATATGAATGGGAATGAATAGTACACATTCCAAAGCACCTGCTCTTCAAATGATGAAGTAACTTCTTATTCATGCTCTCTATACATGTAAACTACATGTAAAGAAAATTGTTCATTTTATTTTCTTCTTGATGCCTCTTGCTCCAAATCTTTGCCGGTATTCTATTCCAGTACACAGTGTATTGGTTCATTAACAGCAAACAAAAACAGAACACAATTTCATTGCAGTAGAAATGATTGCATCCTATTTAACTGGAGGTGGAGTTTGGTGAAGATAGGCATCTTAAGATAAGAAATACATCATGCAATTCCCGTGCTATTCTTTATTATCTTGTTCCTTTGTCTTTTTCAGGGATTCAACTTTTACAACAGACTGAAATTTGCAATCCCAAATGTCTTTGATAAATACTAACATTTACATTAGTTAAAGGAAAAATGAAACGAAATAATTTTGATCCTTAATATGGGAAATAAACTTTGACATAATGAAATGGAAATACGCACAGGCTGTGTAATTCAATTTCTCATGCAAGAATGTCTTAAACTCTGAGGCTGAGTGTTTTAGAGAATTAGAAAATGGAATCAAGTTGAAGTTAAGACTAAAACCTGGATGCTTCTGTTAAAAATAAGAGTTCAGCTTCTGTGGAATTTCAGTCAGCCTCAGTGTTTAACCTCGCTCTCACCTGGAATGACTGATATTGTTTTCAAAGCTCGGAGAACTCTGAATGTTCTCAGCGCTGAGACATTGCCCAGGTCCACAAACTCTGTCACATATCTGTAGTGAGGGATTCCACATACAAACACAATGACAGCACACACAAAATTAAACACAGGTGATGTAGAGGGCCTACTATTTTACACAGTTACTTCTTACCTGGGATTACAGAAATAGTTTTCAAAGCTCTCAATACTCTGAAAGTGCGAAGAGCTGAAACATTGCCTAGGTTTACAAATTCTGTTATATACCTGTAGGATTAAATCACAGTTATTCAGAATTAAGCTAAAGTGTATACTACTTACCTGGACCTGTAATCCAGAGTATTTTTTTGGAAGGGTCAACTTTAAATGAAAGACTTGCATTCATATTTTCCTGTTTCAATTAAGTTTTCCCTAAGAAACACACCCTTAAGCATTCCCATTGAATGTAAATTAAAAATGAAACAGATTTCCCTGATTATATTGTTTAAATACTATTTTAAATTGATTGTTCAGTAGTAACAGTAGTTACTAGTAGTTCAAAAGTAGTTCTCTTTTGTACTGTGGGATAGTCCACTAATTTTGCTGTGGGCTACATTAGTGTAAAATATTAAGATGGAGAAAGTTGAAACAAAATTCAACCACAGTTCATTTGAAATGAGCTAAGATAATCCAAATAAATAATTACATGTTCAAATAAAGTTCCAACTGATATTTGACTTTAAGAGAAATCATATACTTACGCAAAGGAAATTACAACAAAATCAAGCCAGTTCCAGGGGTCACGAAGGCAAGTAAAATCATTTATACAGAAGCCTCTTGCAAGGATTTTTACCAGAAATTCAAAAGTATAAATTCCAGTGAAAGTGTACCTATGAGAAGAGACACAGGCAAAAGCTGAAGATTGTCGTTCAGTGATGCAACATCACCGGCATAAAGGAAAATCACTCATTAGGAGTGGTTAGTACACTTGCCGTAACAGCAGTTAAAAACTCACATAAACTTGTTTTCCCATCATTCTTCTACAAGATTATTTATTTATTTTATCCCAAACATATTTTTGCAGTTTTGGGCACAAGATATTCTGAAATTTCTGCACAAATAATAATAATCATGACTACCATGAAGAAAATATTCTTGCTCAATTAAAAATTTCAGCATGGTTGCCATGTCAGAAATAAAATCCATGAGTGAAACCAAGTGTTTACTTAAGTGACTTGATTGCTGACCAGGTAGACTTGAGAATGCCAAATAATAATTCTTGTCAGAGGTATTTTCTTTAAAGAGGGTGCGTGTCCCATTTTTAGGTTTTGTTACGCAAACTGAACGTGCTGCATAGGGGCCATAGAAAGCATCTTCCACACTGAAAATCAGTAGTTCAGGTTGAAAGGCTATTTTCTACCTTTTCTTTTCTTTCTTTTTTTTTTTTAATAAAAATGCTAAAGGAACAGTTCAAGATGGGGAATGCATAGAAAAAATTACTTGCACAAACATTCTGAACAAGAGTATTAACCAGAGTTTTGTTCTGAGAAAAAGGGTAACAACATCATGGCTTCTTTCCTTCCTAGAGCTTGCAGGTCTATGCTGCTTTGAGTTGCAGCTAGGATCAAACTCCAGGCTAGAAAAAGAAGCATACTGATATTACACACAAGGGCAAGTAAAACTACATGGTCTAGCTCTTAATTTAGCTTTTCATTTCTAAACCACTTTAAAAATTATTAGCTAATTGAAGTATACTTACTCTACATTCTTTGTCCAGTCTGGAAGGTTATTCCATGTCATAAATACACAGTTTGTCAAAATAGTTAGCATAATGAGCATGCTGAACAACGTTGACTGTAGTCAAGGAACACATCCGTTTTAAATGCTGAATTTGCATCTCACAAAACACAAGCAATTGACCAGCTATAGAGTACTGACAACATACATGATACAAATCAGTTTACTATCACTAGCAATGTCATAAATAATGCAAAGATGCTTCACAATGATGATGGTTATACCACTAACTCTAATAGGTCTACATGCTGTGCATCTCTTCCTCCTCATTTAATCAGAGAGGTGAAGTGACAAGTCTTAGATCCGATTCATTTTGAGAGACAGAATTAAGGGCAGGAACACATTTAAACACTAAACCAAAAAACCCAGTGTAATTAAATATTTTAAAGGATCAGTAATTTTTAACAAACCACTTGAAAAGGATATGAATGAACCAAAATTTTAATAGCGATTCTTCTAATAACATTGAAAGGAGATAAAAGGTACAAGGCAGGTGTGGCACTGAACCTGAAGATTGTCTTCCCTTTATTCAATACTATAAACGTCTTTAAGAATAAAAAAACAAGGGACGGGGAAGGGGGTGGGGGGGAGAATGGAAGAGGAAGTAGGAAATTACAGATACATGTTATCAACCTTGCCATAAATAGTGGCTGCACTTACACAGACTTAAGTAGCCACATTTTTCAATAGAATTATACAAGCAAGTATCAGATTCTAAATCTTCATATGCCAAGGAAAACCGAACACCATATATTCTTGGTCTCTGTGCTCTTAAACAAAATCTGCATTTCAGCATTTTCCTGGATTATGCAATTACATTAAAAATTTAATTAAAAAATTGTCATTTTTATCATTAAAAATTAATCCAGCTATATTACTTGTACTTCGTATCAGAGCTGGCAGGGCAAAACCAGGCACCTAATTAACCCTTTTTGGATATTTATGAGCAATTATTTAACCATTTCAGCACTTTCAGCTTCTGAGGTAAGACATCCTTGGCTTATAAAGGTTTTACTGCCTTTATTGTCTTTGCAAGTCATCACTATCCAGAAATAAGCAGGTTTTTAACATTAAAACTTTGTTTTCTAATTATATTCTATCGTAAAAGAAATAGATAATTTGACAGTAGCATTCATGAAGTTCAAAAACCAAAAACTAAAGTAAGTAAAAAAACTACATCTCGTTATTTGTCTTCAACATTCTGTACTGGAAAAAAAACCCACTGCTTTAACTTAGTTGCTTCTTACAGATAATACAGCTCTTTGGTCATTTGCGTAGAACCATAGAATGGTTTAGGCTGGAAGCGATCTTAGATTATTTAGTTCCAACCACCCTGCCATGGACAGGGAAACCCTCCACTAGAAGGAATCTTACATCTTACATGAAAGACACTAATCTATTGATTATCCACTACTTCAATTCAAGAACCTGTTCTACATTTCTAATTCAAATAGCATTTTATTGATTTACATAATAAAATAACCACTCACTGCTTATTTTGTACTGCCTTTTTAATGTAAACTCGATTTTGCTTTCATTCTGAACATCATTCTACTTCTCATGCCTATATAAAAACATCTTTTCTTCATCTGTACTTGCCAAAGTCATCACCCTTTCTCCTCCTTTTGCTATCACTAGATCTATAAAAGTTACATTACATACTTAAATATTAATTTAGATTTTGGCTTCAGGGCTATACCCTGCCTATAACATAGACCCAATATTGAAACACAAAGCATATAGTTTTAGTCTTTACACTCAGTCCCAAAGCCACAAGTCCTTTTTACATTCAACAAAACCACAGCATTTTATAAAATTTCTGCATAACTTTGCATCCATACAGACATAAAACAATTCCAAGAGGAATGATGCAGAGACTATCAAAAACTTGCTCTGCAACATACTATTATTGAGGGCACAAGACCTCAGATTTTCCTACCAGTGTACTGTCTTCATGTTCCTCAAGGGGCAGTGCAGGAAGGGATTATCTGATGGGGAACTGGTATTAAAATCATCCTGAAGCAAACCCTAGTATAACCAACTCTCATCTGGAAGTGACACAAGCTGTTACCATTCCACAAAAATGGCATCACATGAAGCTGGCAATATGTGATAATAACCTTTTTTCTTTTTTTTTTTTTAAACCTTATAGCCATCCCTCATCAGATAGAGTTTAACTTTTTGTAAAACAAATTTCTATCAGATTTCAAGGAATGTTTGACAGCCAATCGTCGTGACAGATGACTGCAGGAGCACTTTGTCTGAAGACTACCTACCGAACTACATCTCAGGTACTGTCTATGTTTCCTAGAAACCCCAGGAACAGAATAGCCAGACTGAGAGGAATTTTTCAAATGCTTCAGTATTCAATCAGATTTGACAAGTTTAAAGGACACCTAATGCAAAATCCAGTAACTTAAAATATCATCATAAGGAAACATTAGACATTACAAGAAAAACTTTTTTGAAAAAAGCAACTTAAGAGTAACAGTCATATTTATAGTGTACTCAAAATTATTAACATGATATATCACATACTGCGTAACACTTTCAGTCAGGGCTTCTGACTACTGCCACACAAGAGCATTTGTCACGTCAGAATTCAACAGGAGCATTCTAACTACACTCTTAATATAAATCACTTACTTTTTTATTGATATAATATGGATCCAGGTCCTCCAGGGGCTCAGACACCATTCCTGGAGGAATATCACCGTAAATAAACGGCAGTGTCTTTCCCGCCTCCAAGTCATTACTTGGTTTTGGGTGATTTGCTTCATGACCACCATCATCTTTATGCTCATCTTTGTCACAATGAGACGTTTCATCAGCAATACGCTTTTCAATAGCTGCAAGAGATTCCTTGGTGAAATAGAAGAAGCTGTCAGATCCTGGTGGTACCAGCATTGCTTGTGCCATCTTTTCATTCTGCAAGCTTTAAGTGCTTTTAGGCTCTTCTGCAAGAAGGTCCTAGGAGAACATGAGGGGGGAGGAAAAAAAGAAAAAAGAAACAGAAAATATAAGGAAATTGCAAGAAAAATCCTCAAATAAAATTTTTGGCACAGTGATCATCTGTCTCTTTCCTAATTCTAAAGCACTGTAGCAAGAAGCATTTGAATTCACTGTCAGATACTTAGTAGAAAAGTAGCTCACATTAGCTTTCCTAAAGTAATGACAAGGCAAACAGATACAAGTTATGAGGTAAAGAAAAAAATGAAAGGGGGTGGAGAGAGGATCAAATTTGCAAACAGTTTGTCAACTGAGGTTAATACAAACCTCACAACAAGAAAAAAGGAAAAATAGTCTCTCTCCCTAGCCTAAAACATACCTTATTGTGAAAAAGTAAGAAATGTGTTAACACAGCTAGGTACTGCAGTCAATGGTTACAAGTTCTAACATATGGATTTACACATCAAGTTGGCACCATACCTTAAAAACACTTGCAGCTTATATTACAAAAGTAGGAAGAAAAACCATGCCCTTTGTATTACTCTTTCCACTTCTGATGGCAACACTACTCCATCTGGTGGTTTATACTATGCTTGCTATAAACTTGCAATAAACTAATGTGTATAGTATACAATTAAACAGGTTCTACACAAACACATTCTATATTTAAAGCCACATGCACAAGCAGGAAGTACTTGGGCTGAAGTTTAGTCTTTCCCTTTTTGGGTTTCCTGACTTGCATCATCCTGATTTTTAATTGTAACTTTGGTGATGCTACGGTCCATAATTAAGGAAGCTCTTATGGATGAAGGGCTTTGGGTTTATACGAAAAAACACGGCATACTCTCCCCAAAATTACAGTACACTCTCTGAGGCCACATACATTTTCAAAAGACCTAAAATCAATAAATTCATTAAATTACAACAAACGTTAAGTCCTCAATAGATCACTTCTTTCCAGGTTTCTATTTTCTACAGTGGGGGCACAGTTAACACCCATGGGTGTAATATTTTCAGAATATACCAGCTTTATGAATGGAGACAAAATGGAATCCAGTCCTGCCTGCTAACACTGGTAAATGTTGTAGCCTTTGTCAACACAACACTGTGGAGAGTTGACCTTGGCCGGCAGCCAGACTCCCAGCCAGCTGCTCTCTCATTCCTGCGCCTCCAAAGGAAGTGGGGATTCCTGCTCCTCCAAAGGAAGTGGGGTGGAAAAAAATAAAGTGAAAGAGCACTTACACTGAGATAAAGACAGAGTGATCACATACCAATTACTGACATGGGCAAAGGGGAAAAGTAATTTATTTGCCAATTAAAATAGATTTGGATGCAAAGACAAAACCTAAGTGGGGTGGAAAAAAATAAAGTGAAAGAGCACTTACACTGAGATAAAGACAGAGTGATCACATACCAATTACTGACATGGGCAAAGGGGAAAAGTAATTTATTTGCCAATTAAAATAGATTTGGATGGTGAGAAACAAAGACAAAACCTGAAAGAACACACACCCCCCCTTTGCCTCTTTTTTCCAGGCTCAACTTCTGTACCTCCTCCCTCTTCGAGTGGTACAGGGAGGATGGGGAATGGGGAGCTGGGGTCACACAACTGCAGTTACTGTCTGTGCTCCTTCCTCCTCACACTTCCTCCCCCCCCTCCAGCAAGGGTCCTTCCCACAAGCTGCAGGGCTTTAGGATGACTACTCCAACATGGGCTCTCCATGTGCCATGGTTCCTTCAAGGAATATCCACCTGCTCCAGCACTATGTCTCTACAGGCTGCAGTGTGGGTATCTGCTCCAGCATGCTCCTCCATGGGCTGCAGGGAAATATCTGCTTCACCATGGCCTGTACCATAGGCTCCAGGGAAATCTCCTTCCCAATATCTGCAGCCCCTCCTCCCCTCCTCCTTCTTCTCTGACCTTGCTGTTTGCAGGGCTACTTCTCACACTTTTTTCCCCTTAGTCCTCACACACATGTGGCGTTTTGCCCCTTCTGGAACAGGTTTTTCCCCAGATGCCCCCATCTTGGCTGAGGGGCTCAGGCGTGCCCTGCACTGGTGCTGGAGCCGGCTGGAATTGGCTGTGTGCTTCCCACACAGAGGCTGCCCTGCAGCCCCCCACCCAAAGCAGGCGGTGCCACAGATGCCCAGTAGAGAAACACTGGGAATACTGGGCAGGGTGCTGTGAAGCCAAACTCAGGAGGAAAATAACTGACGAGAATTTAGATGAGTTGCTCCATTTGCTGTAGGCTTCTGTCCCCACAAATGTCACAGACTAAGCCAGGAGGTGAATTGGCTAAAGACGCAACTTTTTTCTGACCACAGGGTGAGCTCAGCAGTGGGGGTGCGCTGGGAAGGAGAAAAAATTGATAACACTCCTGTATGAAGTGTAACAGCTCCAAAGTCAATCAACACATGACACCATAAATCCCAGAAATCTGCCTCTTCGGGTCAACTTTTAGGTAACTTTTTAGGTCAACTTAATGCTAGTTGAGTAAATTTTCTATTTTTTTTAACGATTCTTTAACAGAACCTAAATTCTCATAGACTTGCAACCTAACATTACATCAGCCATTTCTCCCTCAAAATTTGCCAGTCAAGCTATGCACAGACTTGAAATCCCTGCTTTTTCAGCTGAGCTACCACAGCTTCTGAGTGCTCAGCAAATACTCCTTACCATGACAGAAAATAAAAAAAAAAAACAACACAAAAAAGGAGTCTTTGCGCAGGCCTGTAAAGAGATGAAAAATTTCCTAATAAATAAGTAGCTATAGAAATCAGACATTTTTCATGTCAGCCACAAAAAACTTTAGGAAAACACAGAAATGTTTTTTTCTGGAACAGAAAGACAAAGAATGCCAACTCTTTCCATATTTATTAAATAATGAATAATTTCATCCATGCTATCTTAAAATAGTTCATCATTCTCAAATGAAAACTCTGATTGCTGTTTAGCCTTCTCCACCAAACCCTTCTCAAATCCATAGCACCAGTGACCCTGAAGACCTGCCCAGCCATACTTGGACTGAGAACCAGCTGTGTCTCAAAAGGTACTTTTCCTTCAGAAGCTGGATGACATCTATAGCTCTAAATATCCAGAGAACATGTACCAGCAACAAGGGAGAGAGATCCGTCTCACAGGAAGGACAACAGGATCTTTTTTCTATAAGCTCCATTTTTATCTAAGAGCTAAAGTATGTAATGCAAGTATCATGTAGTACCCTTAGGTCACTTATTTAGCTTACAACTCTTTTTCAGAAAGAAAAGGGGGGAGGCTGTGTCTACTATCTGCTTCTTTATTTGTAAGCTGAAAATTCACAAGGATTTCTTTAGTGTTAGCAGCCATGCCTATTTAATTTTTTTTTTTTAAGGCAATGAAAATTCTTTCTAGCAGGGGCTTTTTCCTACACGAAGGTAGTAGGATTATTAAAATAAATACTAGGTTTTCCCTAAAAAAAACCCATTCCTATATGGTATATTAACCATATATGTGTTGTAACAGATTCTGAGAACTGCACTTATATAAAAATTGCTAATCTGTATTGACTGATGCAAACAGTTCACATATATGCAGCTATATGTAATCAGTCTACACACACTACGTTATTCCCTAAAATGGTTAGATGGTTGCACAAACTCATCAGAATATGAAGAGATAAGCGAGCAAGACGTACAAAAATTACAAGAACTTATTTCTTAAAACCAAATAAAACAGGAGCTGTACACACAGTACTGCCCTGTTACAGTCATGCTGCCCCTTATGGGCTAAATCTGATACAGGTTTTTCAGCACTTCCACCATGTCTACAAATAAACAGTGGCATACTTGGCAGTCTAAAAAATAATTATGCAACTTCGTGTTGTGATGACTGTCTTCAGAAACAAGCATGTCAACAAAAAGGAGACACTCTTGGAGAATACAACACATATATACCATAAAGTTCAGCTACTCTTCCAGGGAATGTTCTCATCACTTGGAGAAAGACTTTTAAAAACTTTAAAAATAGTTTTCTAGTCAACTTTATGAATGTAGCCTCAGAAGGTGATGAATACAATGCCTGTACAAACTACTTGTTATCAAACATGTACTTGAAAAATGTTATTCACTTTTACGTCTGTCTATGCATTTAGGCTAAATTTGCTCTTTGGAAGTCTATCATGTGTAAAACTAGAATTTCACGAATGTTCATTTTACCAAATAACACTATGGCCTTATGGCAATTCTTCTGAGTTGTTACAGATGTTATCAGAATGAAAACCAATCTTTCTGCTTGCATGTTCATATTCCACCCGTTTATTCAGCAAAGCTTAAGTGGTACCCTTAGGGCTGAGATGAACTACAGTATTTCTCTCTAGAGACACCACAGCCAATGACTGCAGCGCATCTCTCACTGTTAACATAAACCAGAAAAAGGTTTTTTCCAATACATAACAGGAATCTCTTCTATTAATGATTTACCCTAGCAGCCTAATCACAACTCATGCTTGGAAAAAAACCCATACCTATCAAACACATACTGAGATACAGTTCAGTGACCATATTTTTTGTCATGGCTTTTTTTAAGTATTGCAAAAATACAAACTCTGTAGCAATGTGGAGCAAACTGATGCCATTTATATCACTACCTCATGAAAATCAATTTATCCAAGAGACATATGGAGTGAAAAAAAAAAAATTAAGATGTATGGACTGGTTTAATGACTTAAATGTTCCCCCCCCCTCTTCTGCAACATTGATGGCTTCTGTATTACAAATTAAGTGGTAGTAGCATATCAAATCAGAAAACAAGGAAGAATCTGAATCCTGAAGAAACTAAAAATTACACCCCTTCCCCCAAAAACCCCACAAAGATCCTTCCGAAATCTTCCACACACACACAAAAAAAAAAACCACCAACCCAATGTTAAAAAAATCCACCAACAGTAAAAACCAAAAACCAACACATTAAAAAAAACCCTGGTTATGCATCT